GCTGCAGTGAACAGGAACCTCCTGCCCAGATGACATGGCTGCAGGGGCCGGGGCCAACGGGGAAGGTCCGAGTTGTCCCGCGTTGCACTCAACAGAGACCGTTCCCTCTCATGAGCATGTGAGGTGTGTGTAGTTATAGACTTGAAAAGGGTTGAGTTTTTTGGGATCGAACTCAGGACCTTGTGCTTCTGAGGCAGGTGGCAGAACCACAGCTATATCCCCGGCCCAATGTGTTTTTCCACTGGGACACTAGGGAGCCTTCTAGCTACTCTATCCTATACTTTCTCCTCCCTCCCTAAATTCAGTTGCTAACTCCTTTGGCAGTTGTTTTTCCATTTCACACCCAAGCCAGGCATAGTGGTGCATGTCTATAATCCCAGCCCTCTAGGAGGCTGAGGCAGGAGGATTTCAAGTTCAAACCAATTTAGCAAGACCTGTCCCAAAATAAAAATTAAAAAGGGCTGGGAATGTAGCTCAATGTGAAAGCCCTGGGTGCAATCCCCAAAACCACAAAAAGCGCACTTGGGGAGCGCACATTACTTCTTCAACCCCCATTTTCATCTCTAAGAAAATAACCAAGTATCAGCCACATATATTTGGTATCAGGCAAGAAGCTGTTCAAAATGCTAACCATTACTGTCACTCCAAAGCTATTTCATTCTGGGAACTAAGGAGAACCAGGCCAAGTGGTAAGGACAAGAGAAGCACTCATGGAACTTTTCTTGTGGATAGTGCTTAACTCGTTTCTCTGCCAGCACTTGGATGGATGGGACTTTACATACCCAATACCCTGTGTAGGAGGCAGTTGTTTTTAATCTCCAAAGCCCCCAAAACTAGTAGAGAAATCACAGGAGGGCCTACAGTGTGTTCCACCCACAAGGAGACCCAAGACAGAATGAATGTGTGGGAGACGTTAACTGGGACTGAGCTAACTGGAGAGTTATCTCCAAGTTACCTACCTTGTTGGAGGCAAACTGAGCACTAACCTACCAGGAGGCCTAATCCTATGGCAGACAAGACAAGACCACTGGCAAACATCCTGTGTGTTTTCACCCAAGATGCCACAAGGCTACACTTAAGTGATGCCCCCAGAACCGAGAACTGGACCTGAGTTATGTTGATTTCTACCGCCACATATTGCTTGGTAACTTTAATTTTTCTTTTGGGAAACAAGAGGCATAGAGTTAAAAAATCTCACTATGATTGGTACATGAATTCCAGGTACCTTTAAAAAAGTTCCCACAGCTGTGTTCTCGCAAGTGGCTGGCGCGCCTGGAGATAAGTGTTGAGATGGGGGAGAAAAAGAACCAAATGGAAGACCTAGGAAGACAAAGACAAGTTCTCACATGTATGGGTGGCTTTCGAGGGGAAAGGACTAGTTTAGGAAATCACCAAAGGCATTTGTTTGGCTTCTTGAAATGTAGACTTGGTGTTACGGGGGCCAATGGGGAGAGAGCTGCAGAATTTTCAGAAAATGGACAGATTAGATCACTCCTCCCTAACCACCTCCAGCTCTTCCCAGCTTCCCTGTTGGTGTTACAGACGTCCAGTGTAGCAGAGAGCTGGCCCAGGGAAGAGGGCTTTATAGTAGCTGGCAGGACTCAATCTGCAATCCTAGCCACTTGTAGGCTGAGACATTAAGACTGCAAGTTTGAGGCCAGCCTGGGCAACTTAGCAAGACCCTGTCTCATAAAAAAAATAATAATAATAAAAATAAAAAGGCTAGGAGCTGAGTGCGGTGGCACGTGCCTGTAATCCCAGCACTTGGGAGGCTGAGGCAGGAGGATCGCTTTGAGACCAGCCTGGGCTACATAGTGAGTTCCAGGTCAGTCTCAATTACATAGTGAGACCCTGTCTCAAAGAAATAACCAAAAAACAACAAAATAAAACAAAACGGAAAAGGCTAGGTATTAGCTCAGTGGTGCCACTGCCTGCCTCGCAAGCACAAGTACCTGCGTTTGACCCCCAATACAAAAAACACCAAAACGCTGGGAATCCAACCCCTAGTGCTAAAATTGTCCTCCCATTACCCCTCTTCTACAGGGAAGGCAGGGTCTGCCCCAGCCCAGAGGTCCCCTCCTGTCCTGAAGTGCTGTTGGTAGCTGTTGTGCTGACCGTAATGCTCACGGAGAAATGCAAGGCCCTGCCAGGTGAGGGTGTCAGAAAACCGAAGAAACACACAAGAAAACAGCAGTCCTGCGTGTATTTAACAATATATATATTTATAGATATTTTTCTAGATCAGTACATTCAGTTTTTAACTTGTTTTTTTCTTCACAAACAGAAGAACTCTTACAATAGTAGACTTTCTAAAATAAATACTATTAAAATAGAGCTTCAAAATAAATATTCTATACAAAGGAAACCTTCTGTGGTAACGCTTGTGATGGGGTGAGAAGGGGCTGTGGTGAAGGGGTAAATGAAGAGTGGGAACCGGGAATAGCTTTACTGTTTGTAACACGAAACCCCAACTGTGTGGGACAGCAAGAGGAGAAAGCAAGATAAGACACTGCACAGTTACCTAGAGCAAAAATGGCAACACAAGAGGTGACTTCCAGTCACAAGTAAGCAGGGCACGATGCAGCTTACCAAAGGCATGGACCCGGGGCTGGCGAAGCTTGCAGTTACCCCAGGAACTGTATAGTGTGAAGCTGTGTGCCCACACCTGATGGACACTTCCTGGGCCGGCGAGGGAGGACCTGTCGCTGAGTTACGGTCACCTGACTTCCGGCCCAGGCCTACACCTTTCATGTGGGCAACCTCTGCCCAGCTGGACCCACTTCTGTACAACAGGCATCAACGGAGACCCTATGTGTTTAAAGAACCCTGCATCATGAGAGTGACTTCGCCTGGTGTCAACAGAAGGCGTCATCTTTCACTCTTCTAGGCGGCTGCTGAGGACTCTGAATTGCGCCGGTCATTCATCAGGGAAGGGTCTGCAGCCTCGGCGGTTCTGGGGATACCCACTGAGTGCTGGCTTTCTCTGGCCCCCCTCAGGGAGGGAAAACCACCAGCCAAGGCACCCTTGGAAAAGTGTCCCGGATCCCAGTTGCAGGGACAACTGCTGTGCACGCAGGTCCAAGACAAGTGAGGACTGGTGGCACTTCCTCGGTTAAGGATTCATCCAGCCAAGTGAGCTACTAGTGACAGGAAATGAGCCAGAAGCAGCCACAGAAAGATGCTATGTTTCTGGGTGCTTGTCCCCTCAGTGGCCCTTGGCTGGCCTGGAATGGGTGGTGGGCCCATAGGCAAGCCATGTTTACTTTCCTTTTTTTGCCAAGGAGCCAGAGAAAAACTGCCAAGGGACTAGCTATACAACAAAGCTGGGAGGACCAAGGACAGCTGCTTCACTCTCCTCTTTCCTGCTGAGCACTCATGGCACCAAGCTGAATGAACTCAGACAACAGAGTTCTGCAGACGTCAATCTAGCAGGTTAAATGCAAGCCGAAAAGGAGAGAAAAAAAGCAAACCAAAACCCACAAAAAAACTTGTGTTTTACAACTATGTACATACACATAAAAGTCAGGGTGCAGAAGGCCATTCGCCAGGAAACAGGGTCTCTGTTGGTCAAGGGTCCGTGCGTGCATGTGGTGTGTGTGCGCGCGCGTGTGCATACACAGCTTATGCAAATCAAATCTCCACAGACTGGGTGTGAGACCAGGATCAACAAACCTCAACCTCTAACTAGGTCAAATTTCCTGTGGGGATGATTTGAGGGAGGGGCCCTGGGAAGGGTCCTGAGGCCTTGAAGAGTGCATATGTGCACAGTCATTGGGGGCCACCTCTGCACACCTCTTCTGAGGAAAACATCTCCAGCCCCTTCAGTACACTTCTGATACATTCAATTAGTGTAAGTGGTTGGCTGAACATGTTCATTTTCTACCATCCCTCCTAATTGTGCAAGAACATCCATGTATCAGTCACAACTGTGGTGAGGGTAGCTATGAGTTAGCCATAGAGAATGAAGATGCAGGTTTTTTTTTCTTTTTCATACAGGGATCAAACTCGGGTCCCTTGCGCTCGTGAGGCAGGTGGCGGAACCACTGAGCTAAATCCCTGGCCCAAGATGCAATGTTTTATACTCGCCTTTTACAAGCCAGCAAATGTTACATAAATAAAGCTGAAAATAATAAGACCCTCCCTTCCTGCAATCAATAAATACCTATGGTTACAATTAACTTATTCTAAATCATAAGATGTTTACTACTAGTTTCCGAGGGGGGCAGGCCTTGGAAGCATCAGGTACACAGGCCACTCCCAGCTACCTACCTCCTCACCTCCTTCCTGGAGGCAGCTGTTTCCACAGAATGAAGCTGGAAATGCTATAGATGCTCTGCCTAATGTGCTTCCAATGTCACCTGGGTCTTTCTTTCGACCCAGGCTACTTCCTCTTGTGGAGGGAGAAGGGGACAAAATACCACACAAAGCAAAAACCCCAGACCCCTGGGGTGAGGGGAGGACCAGACACACTACAGCTTTTGCATGCAACAAGTACCTACCCACTGGACGTGCTGCACTTTCTGAGTCCTTTAGCACCTTGAGAGAAAGAGTTGCTACGTCTTTGGGGGCTGTTGGGAGAGGGGTGCGCTGTGCACAAAAACAGGGCTAAGTCACAGTGGCCCCTGGGGAATCTTCCCCACCCTCTCTGAGCTCTTCTGACTCCCCCACTGGGGCTTCCTAACACTAAAATAGACTCTCTTTGCACCATCTATTTATATACAGATACAGACATATATCGCATCGCTATACACAAAAGGCTACGACAGCAAGCAGCAGAATCAGAAGAGAGGAAACCCAACCCCAGTGTGGCTCAACTGTCATTCTGCCAATGGGAGGTGCTGCCTCTTCTTCACTGATAAAATCCTCTTCTTGGTGGGCAGGGGAATTGTGCTCCTTGAGGTTTCTTGCCCCCAGATTTTGAAATCAGCCCTTCCTGGGGGTGGCCCAAAGGAAGCAAGTTGTTTTATTATTGTTCTTAAAACACCGTTAGCATCTGGTTTAATTATTCTATAAAAACAACACGACTGGATCAAGAGACTACAGCCTCAGGCTCATTGGCAAAATGATATTTGGTCTCGCATGTTCTGCCCCGGCCTTCTCTACCCATCAAGTTTCTGGAAAGGATCTGAGTAGAGTGAAAACTCAGGACAGAGCAGGCAGGCGAGTCTGTCTGACTCGTAAGAACTGGAGCGGAGGACGGTGTAAGACGAGTGGAACACCCTCAAGAGTCACGGACAAGGTTGGTAGAGAGGAATGCATTGCGCAGTGATCCCTAGACCAACTGGGGAGGCTTCGGCTCCTTGGCTGTCCTCTCTTCTCAGCACTCCAAAGTATATACAGTCGAGATCGCTAGTGTTCTCCACCTTCCCCGAGATCCCTGGGCCAAGTGGTGTGGGGAAGGAGAACGCAGAAGTCAGGACTCCAAGGTCTTCTCCAAAGGGCCCTGGCATTCAGTTAACAATTCCTCCCAGGCAGCCAGCTCCCAAGAGGGCCAGACACAATGGCCAAGGAGGAGGGAGAGCGGAGGGACTGGCAGGGCGTCGAGCAGCTGCAGCTTCCGGATGTGCGTCCACACTGGTTTTGTCTTCTGAAAGATCCCTCCCAACCGCACCCTGCCCATCTGCTTGACAAAAGTTCCAAAACCCTAAATATCTCCCAAAGTGTTTCTTCCTCCTTGTGGGGAAGAGAGTGGGCGGTGGCAGTCTCTGCCTGTTTCTTCCCAAGCTCGGGGCAGGGAGATGACAAATGAGCAAGGTCAGCCGTGGGCGGCTGACAGGAGGAGGGACCCTCGTTTCCAGGGGTAGCTCTTGGGGTTCGACCCGAAGTGTCAGAAAGGCTTGTCGGGTCTGCTGGCCTTGGCGTCCCCACCGGCGGCGGCCTTGCAGATGACACTGTTCGTGTGCTTGCAACGGCAACCAGGACGGCGCAGGCGGTCATAGCCACGCTGGGCCAGCTTCACGCAGCCGGTGGCGGGCAGGTAGCAGAGCAGCGTTTCCAGGGGTAGCTCTTGGGGTTCGACCCGAAGTGTCAGAAAGGCTTGTCGGGTCTGCTGGCCTTGGCGTCCCCACCGGCGGCGGCCTTGCAGATGACACTGTTCGTGTGCTTGCAACGGCAACCAGGACGGCGCAGGCGGTCATAGCCACGCTGGGCCAGCTTCACGCAGCCGGTGGCGGGCAGGTAGCAGAGCAGGCAGGGCAGCACCACAGAGAGGGCGCCCATGAAGGACCAGCGGGCGCAGCAGTTGGAACGGGAGCAGGAGCAGGGGTGGTCGGCACAGGAACCCTCATCGTCCTCGTTGGTGCAGTGGTAGAAGACGCCCTGCACCAGGCACATGCATGTGCCGTAGTTGACCAGGGTCTGGGCTGAGCACAGGCACTCCTGGTTGCAGACCCAGCAAGAAGGCAACGTCCGGGGGGACGCACACTCCTTACACTTGCATTTCCCACAGGCCTCGCACAGCAAGAAGTGCTTGTCCAGCGCTGGCGGGGCCGTTGGACCCTTGAGGTCCAGTGGCTTACAGTGGACCAGCTTAGGCTGGAGGCGCACGGCCCTGGGCGAGGCCTGCTCGGCCACAGGCGGTGGGGCCATGTGGTCCAGGAGGCGCTGGTCAGAGGAGGTGCTACTGCTGCTGCTCACAGAGCTGGGGCGGCCGCTGAAGGAGATCCAGTGGTGGGTGACATCCTGGTCACAGCGGGCGGGCGTCAGGGCCAGCTCTGGAGCCCCACCCCGGGTCCGCTTAGGGCCGGTGGGAGGCGCCAGGCCGGGGTTGTCTATGTAGTCGTTCTCTGCGTGGCTGGTCTTCATCTGGTCAATGGGCAGGATGGTGAGTGGGTGCTGAAGGCGGCTGTGGGTCATCCGGCCGTCCAGGAGAGGCTGTACCATGACTGAGTTGGGAGTCAAAGGGACGCTCTGTGGGATCGGGGGCTCCATGGGGCTGGAGGTCCTGGACTGTGCTGAGAAACAGGCTTCTAGGGGCCCTGGGGGAGGAAAGGGAATGAAGAAAGAATGGATTGCAGGCATCAGTATGCAGCCTGTTAACTCCCTGCCCACCATACCCTAGCAGGTCCTCGGCAGCCCAAATTAAATGGGACCAAATTTCCACAGTGGACTTTGCAGCAATTTCCAAGGATTAGATGATTAGCGATCATGACGGTAATAGCTGTAGAAATGAAACTTACTGGCTGTAGGGTATAGTTAGTTCAGTGGCAGCCTAGTATGTACAAGGTCCTGGGTTCGATTTCCAGTGCCACACAAAAAAAGGAGAGAATTAACAAGGCACTTTTCAGAGTACCCTATATACTAAAGTCACAGATTTTCACAATAACCCTAATAAGTATCTACTATTATCACAGCTTTGGACCGGGGCTCAAACCTGGTAGTATAAAGTTACTGTCTTGGTCACTATGAAACATCCTCCTTATTTAAGACACACAGTTCAGTGGTTAGAAACACAGGACTTGGGATCAGATGAGTGTGAATTCTCACTTTGGCCTAGGATTGTTGCTGTGAAAGACTTAAGTTCTATGCCTCAGGCCTTAAATTTTTCTTTCTTTTTTTTTTTGGTACTGGGGAAACGAACTCTGGACCTTGTGCAGGTGGCAGAACCACTAAGCTAAATCCCCAGCCCTTTAGTTTTGTTTTTTAAACTTTCGTATTTCTGGATTTTTTGGAGACAAAGTCTCAATAGTAGTTTATGATGACCTTGAACTTGGGGCGATCCCCTTGTCTCAGCCTCCTGAGTGCTTGGATTACATGCATGTGCCATCATGCCAGGAAGGTCTTAGTTTTTGTTTTCTTTAAACTGGGTTCTTGCAAGAATTAAATGAAAAAAAAAATGCCTATTCAGTACCTAGCACATTACTGGGCACATAACAGGTACTCAACAATTGATCACTACCCTAAAATGTAAGTTTAGATTTCCTAAGCACTCTTGACTACATGTACCAAGTTTGTGCTGGACCCTGAGGACAAGGTGGTGAAGACAACAGCCCCTGTGTGCTCCCATGGAGTTTACTGGCTGGATAAACAAAAGCCTTTTAGATATTCACAAGAGAAGGGCTGTATCTGGACATCATCCAGGATATTAACGTATTACTACCACTTCTCCGTGTGGTAACTTTCACTTGCTATTAACTCCTGAGGAGGTGAGCTTCTGACACCTTGGATGGGAAACCTTCTTCAGCGGTGCTCATATCACCCATTTCTCCAAGTGCTGAGCTGAACATTCAGCCTAAATGCTATTTACTAGAATAGCTAAGCCAACCCTGGATCAGTTTCTAATTTCACTGAGAGAGTGCAATTTTAAGTTGGCATCCGGCCAGAGATTCAACTGCAGTGCCTGACACGGAACCCCAGGAAGTCACTTAAATCAAAGAGCGGAAACAGCTTGGTTCAAATTTAGAAAGTGCACATTGTTTTCTATTAGAAGTGCCATTTCCTTGCCTGCTGACCTTTACATTTGGAATTCGGATGGAGATCAATTTAAAGAAATAGCAACAGAAGGCCAAGACCTCTGCTCGAGGGACCCAGTTTAGAATCCAAGCCGGAGATTAGACTCTGGGAAGATTCCACCCTAAATCTAAAGAAATCCAGAGGACTGGGTGATGGAGGGGTGCAGAAGAGGAAGATGCCAGTCTTTAAGGGAAAAAAAAAAAAATCCTGCAGCAGATCAGTGTTACAAATGCTGTTTCCCTAAAATACTTTTCAAGATATTAGTGACATTGTAATCAGGAAAGCTAACCCTGGTTCATCAGCTGTTAGGGTCAGGGTGCCCCCAAAGGTGCAGTGAGAGAAGGGCTGTGGCGAAGTTTCCACTCCCCGTTTATCCCATGGGCCTCCGGCCACCCATCTCCATATTCCAATCTCAGGAGAATGACAGCTTGGCCTTGGCATTAAAACTCACTCTCTATAGTGAGGGGAGGGGGACGGGGCAAGGAGGCACTCAGAGCGACTGTGTATTTATGATACTTCCCCTGCTTGGAGACAACAGTTTGATCAGACATAGTTAAACCCTTAGGGAAAGGCTTCCTTGGCTAGCTCTAGATAAAAAGTTCATGAGAGAGCCAGGGATTTTAGCTCCATGCCACTGCCTGCCTCTCAAGTGCAAGGTCCAGAGTTTGATCCCTGGTACAAGAGAAAAAAAAAAGTTCATGAAGAGGCTAAGGTGGGGTTATATCCACAAGTCTCATCTGTGTATCATTTATACTCCTAAATGCAAAAGAGCATCGAGACCTTTATACAAGGTTCAGTGCTCAGTCAGCTGATAGCTCCCACTCACACAGGGCACTCACTCTACTGGCTCTGTTCCCACAGCTCTACTCACTAAAAAGATGCTGGCTGGCCTTTTTTGTTTTTCTTCCCATCTTTGATGAAGTCTACCTAGTGGCAGTGCCTGCCTCAAAGTTCTCAGATGAAACCAGAGCATCACCTTCCAGTGGGAGAATCCCTTTAGGGAAGTTTGCCTTATGTGCCTGGCAAATCTGCCCGGAAAGAACACTCATTCGCCAAAGCAGCTTCCTGTTTGTGAGGCTGGACAGAGGGAATGCAAAGAAGGGCCTACAAACAGGTGTTTTGTTTGTTTTATTTTGCGGGGGGGGGGGGGT